ACGCAAGGCACAAAAGGTTGACAACTTCTTGTAGGGGCTAGACAAGTACTTCGGGGCCGTACGCGTCACAGAGGAAAGCTCGAGGATTGAAACTGCAGTTTTCTATCTCACAGACACCGCAAGGTTGTGGTGAAGGAGAAGAGAAGGAGACATCAAAAAAGGTATTTGCACTATCTCTACTTTTGATGATTTTAAGAGAGAGCTTAAACGACAGTTTTACCCGGAGAATGCCGAGGATGAGGCAAGAGCTCGCTTGCGAATGATCAAGCAAACAGGGACAATCCGTGATTATATCAAGGACTTCACCGACTTGATACTGGAGATCCCGGAGATGTCCGACAAGGACTTGCTCTTCAATTTCATAGATGGGTTGCAATCATGGGTGAAAACAGAGCTAAGGCGTCAGGGAGTGCAAGATCTTGCCATGGCCATAGCAGTTGCTGAAAGTTTGATTGATTATAGCAACCAAAAAGAATACACCGGCAAATCCAAAGATAAGAAGGGCGGCTTTGTTAAAGGTGCGAGAGACAATGGGCAATCTAAAGAGAGCAACCGAGACACCTGCCAAGACTACTCCTCATCCAAAGGTAAGGACAAGGGCAAACGTTGGGACAAACCCCGCAACAATTGCTTCATTTGCAATGAGCCTCATTGGGTGAAAGACTGTCCGGAGAAGAAAGCTATTACTTCCCTCATAGCCAAGCATCAGGAGGGCAAGCAAGTCGAAAGCAGTAGTGATGGGGCACATATGGGATCAATGCAACTACTCAACGGGATTCAGTCCGCACCAAAAACCTAAGCCAAAGGGTTGCTCTATGTTGATATGGCCATCAATGGGAAGGCTACCAAAGCCATGTAGATACGGGAGCTTCGCACAACTTTGTTTCAGTAAGTGAAGTATGCCGGCTAGACCTCAAGGCTTCAGGAGGTGGAGGCACCATCAAGGCAGTCAACTCAGCAGCCCAACCGATACATGGAGTGGCTCAACATATCAAAACCACAATGAGAACTTGATCCAGCTACATAGATTTCTCAGTTGCACCGATGGATGACTACCAAGTTGTCCTCGGCTTAGAGTTCATGGAACAAGTCAAGGCATTTCCCTTGCCTTCAACCAACACCATGTGTATCATGGACGGGGAGCAAACTTGTGTGTTGCCCACTAGCCGCTCTACCAAGCCGGAGACAGCGACACTCTCGACTATGCAGTTCAAGAAAAGCATCAAGAAGAAAGAGAAAAGCTACTTGGGCATCCTTAAGCAATATGACGACGAGAAGCCAATCCCGCCAGAGGCAGTGCCCCGGGAGGTAGCACAAGTACTCGAGGAGTTTGTTGATGTCTCACCAAACAAGCTGCCAAAGGAACTACCACTTAGAAGGGAGGTAGACCATCAGATTGAACTGGAACCAGGCGCCAAGCCACCTGCCAAGAGTCCTTACCGTATGGCACCACCAGAGCTAGCGGAACTAAAGAGGCAGTTACGGGAACTACTAGATGCAGGGTTCATCAAGCCCTCCAAAGCTCCCTATGGCGCACCAGTTTTGTTTCAAAGGAAGAAGGATGGTTCCTTGCGCATGTGCATAGACTACCGAGCACTCAACAAGGTATCTGTGAAAAATAGCTATCCCATTCCTTTGATTGCCGATCTTTTCGATCAGCTGGGGCATGCCCGCTACTTTACCAAACTGGATCTGCGGTCAAGTTACTATCAAGTGCGCATAGCCGAAGACGACGAGCCAAAGACCACTTGTGTTACAAGGTATGGGTCTTATGAATTTTTGGTTATGCCATTTGGTCTAACAAATGCACCAGCCACTTTTTGCACTTTGATGAATAAGATATTTCATCCTTACCTCGACCGGTTCGTGGTCGTCTATCTAGACGACATAGTGGTGTATAGCAAAACCTGGGAAGAGCACATGCAGCACCTCAGGGAAGTGTTCCAAGTCTTGTGGGACAACAAGCTGTATATCAAGAAAGAGAAATGCTCTTTCGCCAAGCCGGAGGTAATGTTCTTGGGTCACAAGATCAAGGATAGGCAGCTTATGATGGAGGATAACAAAGTGCAGGCCATTCAAGAGTAGGAAACACCCACCAAAGTGTCGAAGTTACGATCCTTCCTTGGATTAGTAAACTACTACCGCCGGTTTATCAAAGGCTACTCGGCAAAGACAGCCCCATTGACAGACTTACTCAAGAAGAGCAAGCCGTGGGATTGGTCTAATGAGTGTCAAGCCGCCTTTGAGGAGTTAAAAGCTGCAATCAGCAAGGAACCTGTGCTTGCCTTGCCAGACCATAGTCAGCCATATGAAGTGCACACCGACTCATCCGACTTTGCCATCGGGGGAGTACTCATGCAGAATGGGCATCCGATTGCTTACGAGAGTCGAAAGCTCAATGAGACCGAGCGGCGTTACTCCGTACAAGAAAAGGAGATGACAGCCATCATCCATTGCCTTAGAGTATGGCGACACTACTTGCTTGGGTCTAAGTTTGTTACTTTGACAGATAACGTCGCGACGAGCTACTTTCAGACCCAAAAGAAGTTGAGTCCGAAGCAGACACGATGGCAGGACTTTCTTGCCGAGTTTGATTATGTCTTGGAGTACAAGCCGAGCAAGACCAATGTGGTGGTAGATGCACTAAGCCGCAAGGCCGAGTTGGCGAGCATCAGTCAAGTCACAAGCGCATTGGCTGACCGAATCAAGTAGGGACTCCAGCATGAGCCATTGGCTCGAAACATCATTGCCTTGGTAGAAGAGGGGAAAACCCGGAGGTTTTGGCTGAATGACGACTTACTCTACACCAAAGGCAATCGCCTCTACATCCCAAGATGGGACAACCTGAGGAAAGAATTGATCAAGGAGTGTCATGACTCCTGTAGGCAGGCCATCCAGGTATGAGACGCACCCTTGCTCTCTTAAAATCTGCCTACTATTGGCCTGGGATGCAGGATAACATTGAGGGGTATATGCGTGCGTGCCTTGTTTGCCAGCAAGACAAGGTAGTGCAACAACAACCAGCAGGCTTGCTACAACCATTACCCGTGCCCGAGAGACCATGGGAGAGCATCTCAATGGACTTCATCACATGTTTGCCAAAGTCCGAAGGGTCCGGGAGTATCATTGTCATTGTGGACATGTTTAGCAAGTATGCCACCTTCATCCCCGCATCCACCGATTGCACAGTAGAGGAAACAACCGACCTTTTCTTTCGCAACATCATCAAGTTATGGGGCATTCTAACAAGCATAGTCAGTGGTCGAGATCCTCGGTTCACCAGGAGATTTTGGACAGAGTTATTCAAGATGCTAGGATCAAACCTAGACTTCTCAACCAACTTTCATCCCCAAACTGATGGCCAAACCGAGCGCGTCAATGCACTGTTAGAGCTATATTTGCGGCACTATGTGAGCGCTAGCCAGCGAGATTGGGCAAAATTCCTTGACACAGCCCAATTCTCATTTAACTTGCAGCAGAGCGAGGCAACCAAAAAGAGTCATTTTGAGATCATCATGGGACGACAACCGAACACATCTCTTTCCTTAGCCACACGCTATGATGGGAAGAGCCCCGCAGCCTTCAGGTTAGCCAAGTCATGGCACGAACAAACTGAGCTTGCTCGTGTAGCCCTACATAAGGCAGCGAAGAGAATGAAAAAGTGGGCTGACAAAAAAAGAAGGCACGTTGAGTTCCAAGAAAGTGATCTTGTTCTCGTAAAGCTACTGCCCCAACAATTCAAGACATTAAGGAAGGTGCACAAAGGCCTCGTGCGCAAATATGAAGGGCCTTTTCAAGTGATACAACGCATCGGCAAAGTTTCGTATCAACTCCAACTTCCTCCGAAACTGAAGATACACCCGGTCTTTCATGTAAGCTTGTTGAAGCCATTTCATGAAGACCCGGAGGAGCCGTCCCGAGGAGTCTCTAAACGAGCGCCAACAGCCGTTGTAACATCCTTTGACAAAGAGGTTGAATAAATACTTGCTGATAGAGTCATTCGCCGACGTGGTGTGCCAAATTATCAGGCATACTTCATCAAATGGAAGGGACTTCCCGATGCCGAAGCCAGTTGGGAGACCGAAGACTCATTGTGGCAATTCCAAGACTCAATCATGCGCTACAAGGATAATGCGACGAGGGCGTTGCAGCATTAGGTGCGGGAGAATGTCATGACCAGCCTGCTTGCCGACTCAAGCATGCTGCATGTTGCTTACTGATTAAGTATACTTCAGGGTGGAGCAAACTTAAGGGCTAAGTTAACTTCATAGCTAAGTTAACGACTCAACAGCTAGGTTAACGACTAACCAACTTCGTTTCCAAGGTTGCACCAATGCTTGCCACCTAGGGTTTTTTAATGCTTAAGCATGTAGATTAGTCACATTACTTTGAGGAGCTTGAGCCTATAAATAGGCAACTCCACCATGTAAAGTTTCATAACTTGAATTCCATCAATACAGAGTTTATATTTTCTCTACACTTCTCTCTCATTTGTATACTTTTAGCTTGTGAGTTTGTGTGAGCGTTAGGCTGCTTAACTCATTTTCGAAGGGTTAAGGCCGCACGAACTTAGCAAAGAAGTTAAGTGCGTGACATGGAGCTATCTTAAGTGATGACTAGGTTTGAGAGGAAGATAGCTGGAGAGGTGGCCGACTGAAATACTTCTATATAAGGGCAGCATAAGTAGTGGAGAAGAGATGTGGAAATATGAGAGAGTTAAAAGTGATTTTGAGAGGAAAAATCAAATCACAAAGTCTCATATTTGTATCCGTAGGAGAGTGTTGCGAGAGAGAAGAAAATTGTATTATCCAAATTATATAGTGAATCCTTTGTCTCTACCGTGGTTTTTTCCTGCAAGGGTTTCCACATAAATCCTGTGTCAAATATTTTATATCTCTGGAGCTTTACGTTTTGGCATTTTCCACTACACTTACAAATGCATTTTCCACTACACTTACAAATGCATTTCCACTTCGAAAAGAACAATGAGAAACCATAACTAACCGAGGAGATTGAGATACAATCATACAATTGTGAACACTTTTATACAAATGGCACATTTAAGCTACTCTTGCAAATTTATCAGTTTCAGATACATATATAATCATCCGGGAACTCACACATTTGATGTATAATAGATTTATTCATGAGTAAAATGTTAGTACACAAGGAACATTTCCTAGTCATTTGAGCTAATAGACATGTGGAAAGCCAAGTTGAGAGGAGGCACCAAACGATGGAAGTTTAAGAACTGGCTCTGAAATATGAACCGTCTGGCTCAAAAGCTTGCCTTCAAGAAAATCCTCCCCAAAGGACTAGAAGATGTAAACAAAGTCTTAGAAATCTTCCAGGTTTATTAGCAAAGAAGAAAAAAACTAAACATGAATATATTAAGAGAAAACATGATGCAAACCTTAATACTGCTTATGGTCATTTCACCATTCAATTCAGGCTTCTCGGCATCATGTTTTGTGTAAGCTATAATCTGCATTTGAACATGGACGCCGTGAAGACATTCATTTTTGCATTATTTTAATAGTCCTCATTGCACAGGATTTCATCTTATGCATAAATTTACAATCTGAAAAATGAACTTACTCTTGGAAAATCTCCGGTAATGCCAAATTCATGAGCAATATGATTCTCAACTCCTTCCAAGTGCATCTCCACATGGACAAAGAGAAGCTGCCAAGGAATTTTAAAAATCATATTAATAACAGATTATTTTCAGAATATAATGCTTCACCAATCTTATAGCACAACTAGATTTTCATAATGCAGTGCTCATGATCTGTAAAGGATAATTTCTAAATTCACCTTTTCTCTGAAAGCTACTGCAGCTTCTTCAAACGCTGAAATAACATTCTCCGAACCATACTTGGGGGCAAAAAGCCATAACTGAGAAGAAATTTACAGACATGTTAAACCAAAACTTTCAAATTTCATTATTAGAACAAGAGGTACGACATAAGGTCTAACCTGTTTCATTGGATTCTGGAAAATCTGTCCTGCAGTTTCTGTTGTGAAAGTGATCACTGGAGGATGATTGATTTTAGATACAAATTCAACTATTGCCAATCTTGTGAATTGACCATCTAAAGAAATGAAGAGCAAAATGTGTAAGTAGATGCTCTCTGAATCATAAAATACTGAAATTGAAATTATGAAGCATTGAGATGTTGAAAACTAACTAAATATAGCAAATTTTTTGGACACTGTTTGTAGCAGTATCAAAGCAGGGCGTTTGATATTTGGGTTGATGTGGAATAACTCTGCAACATCAGCTCTAGCAGTTTGATAGAATTCAATATCACTATGCAGTTTTGAGACAGCAGCAAGTTCTTCACTTTCTGGACCCTTTCAATTACAAATAAATAGAGTTAGATCAACGACTAAATAATCAAACAGCAAATTGATTATAGAATATGTATTTGATTGATTTTTCTAGGCAAAGCAACTACAACTATAATCAACAAGTTTTATTGGAAGAAGATCAAACTCGACTTGATTTAGAGTTTATAATTGATTAAACAACTGAAGATTCCTACTGTTATCAACTAAAGGAATTGATCATAAGAGTAACCCTCAGCTCAACTCAAGCAATTAATTGAGTCTTGAAAGATTGTGGTCAGTAAAAAAGAAATTGGTGCATGTCAGTGATGGAATCTAACAAGATTGGCGTATGTCCTTATTTTGAACTCTAATGGAGATTATAAAGTACCTCTAAAGAGTCAAGGAATCCCAAAACCAATTCCGCTTCAACAGTCAATGTATAAATCGCCTCATCCATTGTTGTTATGTTGTGAACACCAACGGCCATCTTCCTTTTCACCCAAGTCGTTATAGCATCCCTGCATTTTGAATCACCCTGGATAAAAATGAACTAAAAAAAAAAAAATCTAACCAAATTTACTAGACAAAAAATAAGTTACCTTGTTCTTGTCAACTTATATGAATTGTGCCTGATCCCATTAACAAAGAGATACATAGTGGGATAACCGTGAATTTTGTTCTTCCTTGCCAAACCTTTGTCTACAACAGAATCCACCATTGCAAGCGCAGCCTCACCCTTGAGCATGTTGGCAGCCGCCGCGTATTCGGGAGCCAGTTTCTTGCTCCAGTAGCACCAAGGCGCATAGAACATCACCATCACATACTTATTCTTGGCCATGAAGTCACTAAAATTTGTCTCGGTCAACGCTGCCACATCTTCATCATAACGAAGCGGCCACGTGCTATGGTCAAGATGTTTGACAACGCTATCTGCATTCGCTGGAAGGAGGTACATGGCGGTATCTTCATTAGAAGGTCTGAGATCTTTTTCACTGATTTTGAAGATTGAAAAAGCGTCAAGGAGATCGTTAAAGACTGGAAAAGTTGGTGAAGGGTTATTGTGATGAAAGAGAGGTGCGAATCAGTAGAGAATGAAGAGGAGGAGAACTGAAATGAAGAGATTGAGTAGAAATCTTGTTGCAATTGAAGCCATGGATCATGAAGCTAATTCAGAACAATTGGGAGAAAGACACAACTCAGAGAAAAGTACGAAGTTAACTGAAGTCTTCTAAACTATATAATATCCAAACATTATCTGCCCGTTGACTTGGAAATTCATGTTCAGTGGTTCCAAACAAGGCTTTAAAACCCGATCCGGCGGCGAACCCAGTCAAGCCACCGTGACGTCAACATGATAACGTCATCATGATGACGTCATCATGATGACGTCATGCTAACGTCAACATACCAACGTCAGCATGATGACATCATGATGTCAGCAATTTTTTTTTTAAAAAAAAAAAATTTGCAGATTTTAATTTTTAACATTGATAATCAAAATATATTCAAATCTGAGATGAAATTAAAACAAGTCTACAACATACCAAGTTATAAAAAATAAACTATGGTGTGCCAAAGAGAGGAGGCAATCAATTTTTTGACCCTATACATGGACATAATCATCACGTATCTTTTTGTATAAAGCTCGCTGCTGCTGCTTCAAGCAAAATTTAAGATTCTCAATTCTCAATCTCGACCCCCTTTGTACATCAATCATCAAATGGGGTTATAATGTTTCCACTCACATTTTTTTTTTTTTTTTTTTTTTTTNAGCCATGATTTAGACAAATACACGGATCACTCGAGCTTTTCACAAATTCCCAGTTGAGTAGCATATATATGACAATGACACAAAAAACCACCATTTCTCTTGCCGTAATTAACCAAGGAGATTGAGAGACAATCATTCAAACTGTGAATACAAATTACATAGTGAATCCTTTGTCTCTGCCGTGATTTTTTCCGGCAAGGGTTTCCACGTAAATCCTGTATCAAATATTTTATATCTCTGGAGCTTTACGTTTTGGCATTTTTCACTACAATTGGTATTGATTTCCGTCGGGCTATTAGGATGTCGATGCCAAAATTCGAAGTTGAGAAGTTTGATGGCACAAACGACTTCAGTATCTGGTGCATTAAAATGCGGGCGTTACTAACGCATCAAGGGTTACTGGGGGCGTTGGAGGGAAAGCTACCCGAAGATTTGTCTGAAGCAGAGCAAGAGGATAAGAATAAACGGGTCCTGACTTCGATACAATTATGCCTGGCAGATGAGCTGCTATGGGAAGTCAGTGAAGAAGATTCTGCATTAAAACTATGGTCAGCTTTGGTAAGTAGATGCATGACAAAGTCGCTCACAAGTCGGTTAAATCTCTATACACTCTTCGGATGAAGGAAGGTATGTCCATTAAAGATCATTTATATTATTTCAAAAAAGTTATAAGTGATCTGAAGAACGTTAGTATAAAAGTTGAAGATGAAGATCAAGCCCTTATTTTGTTGTGCTCGTTGCCGCTCTCGTATGAGCATTTCATTGATACAACGTTGTATGGACGAGAGTCTATTTTTGTTTCTGACATGAAGTAGGCTTTGCAATCGAGGGAACTAAAAAAGCACATCACCGAAGAGCATGAGGAGAATCATGCTGAAGGTCTGGTAGTAAGGGGCAGGACTACACAACATAAGAGTTCCAGTAACAGAGACCGGATGAGATCGAAATCAAAATGCCGAAAGCTTAAATGCTTTACATGTCATAAGGAAGGGCACTTTCGGAAGGACCGTCCAGAAAGGAAGAATAAGAATAAGACTCAAGAGGGGAATGCCAGCGTAGTTCAAGAGAGTTCAGAAGAAGGCGACTTTGACAAGGTGCTTGCTGTTAGAGTCATTGACACTGGTAATGAATGGATTATTGATTATGGTTGTTCGTTTCACATGACACCAAATAAGAACTGGTTTTTTAATTACAAAGNTATAACAGACTTGATAGCATGGGCAAGCGTGCCTCACTCATTCCGGATGGAGTAATATTTGTCCCATAGCATTGGAGATTTTGAGATTTCACTCATAAGGCTCTTGAATTTAAGGTTGCAATCTCCTCCACTGTAAAAACAAGAAACATACAGAAAAAATATATGTTAATGTAGATCGAGTCAGCTTAAAGGAGTCCAGTTAACTTGTCGACAGTCGTACTACTTTTGGTTAAGATCACTGTAATAGACTGATATTTAGCCATGCAATGCAATATACAATCTTATTGGCAAGTTTATGTTGACTTATTGGGAGGATAGAATATGCGCTTACTTCACGGACATGAAAGCTAACCTTATTCGATTCAAGGATGCAATTGCTCGAAGGGCACTGCGAATCATGTCTTCATTATGATCTACTTCTTGCTTGACAGCATCTTGCTTTGGCTTAAAATTGACAGTCTTTTGGGGAGGTTCCACCAATGAGTCCAACACTGAAATGGAAGAGTAATACACGAGATTGAAAATACTTTGGTACATTTGAGTCTCCGAAAATTAAAACCAAATTCAGAAAGTACTATTAGTTACATCAATAACCTGCTAATACAGCAGATGGACATTTATCTGCAAGCTTAGAAAGAATAAGATGACAAGGCATTTTAACATCATAATGATCTGGAGTCAGAGCAAAAATCAGTGTGAAAATGCACACTGCAGTGTGCATTTGCACACCCAGTTTTGCACACTGCAGTGTGAAAATGCACACCCAATTTTGCACACTGCAGTGTGCAATTCAGAGTGTCAAAATGCACACTGCAGTCCCTTTTTGCACACTGCACACAACCAATCAAACCAGCCATTTTTACACACTTCAATTTTCAAACACAACCAATCTTACACCAAACAATCACCTCTTTAATATCAAGTTTCAAACCCACTTCTTTAATATCAAACAATCTCTATGACTCTATCTCAAACAATCTCACAGCAAAAAAAAAATCAAAGTTACAAAGAACAATAACAATAACAAGTTAACAACAATGAAATACACATACCTTGTGGGAGCTGCCGAAGATCGAAGAAGTTATGAAAACCGAATCTGGAAAATTAGAGATTTAGAAGTTGTCCAAGGCCCGAAGATTGAAGATTAGTTGAAGATTTTGATGATTGAAATCGGAATCAAAGAAGCCCAAGATCGTGGAAGCTGATTTTGCTTTTGGTAATGGATTTTTTATTTTTCTTCTCTCTGGTGTTGGGTTTTGTCGAATAAAATTGGGGAAGGCAAGAGACTGAAGAGAGAAAAGCTGAAAGTGAAAAGAGTTACTGTTAAGTTTTAATTTTATTATTTTATTGTAGCTGACCCGGTTTATACTGGTTGGATCGGTAATTCGTCGCAAAAAACCAGTTCAACCGCGGGTGAACACGGGTCAATTATTATTTTTAGTTTTTTATATGAACCAATCCGGCCTAGCCACTGGTTCCCGATCGAACCGGTTCAACCGGCCGGGTTGGGCTGGGTTTTAAAACCATGGTTCCAAATTTGAGGCAACAAGTTAGCGTGATAAACAAGGTTAGCACACGACCACCTTTTTAGAATTGATAACACATCTCAATCCTGAAACTTAAACTGTAAAATCTGAAGTAAAAACTGAATAATTTATTGAATATTCTATACCTACAAAAGAAACGAATAATATGTTTATATAGGGTGGTTACAACCAACCCTAACAAAACTCTAATTAAACAAGGAAATAAAATCATACTTAAACACCAAAACTAATTAAAATAAGACATCTCAACTATTGACTAATTATAAAATAACAAAAGTAAAATTTAACTAAATTAAAACTTCCTAAATCAACTAAACTCCTAATTAAAATAGAAAACTACTTAAATTCCTAATATAAAACCTTAAATAAATAAGAAAATCAAACGAAAAAAGGGAAACAAAATTAAATTCTAATTAAATCCTAATTGAACACTATTTTCCCTACTTCATACTCCCTCTCTTAAAAATAAAATCGTCCTTGAGTTTCAATCTGGTGGGTGATACTTGAAGTAGAGTAATAAGTCTTCCTTTGGAGCAAATAAATATCTTTTGTCATTGATCTTCCTAGGAGCGTTGTCATGTACTATAGTCTTCAAGTTGCAATCGAATGTCACTAATGTTTCATCATTTTGATCCTTAACTTGAATGTGTTATTCTTACTCAAGCTTCTCCTTTAGGATAGTTTGCTTTTGCTCTTGTTCAATCTTCGCTTCTTGGAGAACTCGTTTAGCTTCAACGTCTACTTCATGCTCAATCTCCTTTGATGTGTGATCCTCAATTTGTGACATCTGATGGTCTTCATTGGCTTTAAGAATTTCTTTAGGAAGTGCTTTATGCTTCTTGTCTTCTTCCATAACTGGTGAGGCATGTATTCTCTGAAGAAGAATTCTTTTTTTTTTTTAATTCTTAACTGTGATTCTACATCAAAGGCTAATTGAAGAACATCAAACAATGCACGGTCATGTCGTAAATCAATTTGAGCTTGTATGTTTACATTCAACCCATTAAAGAATCTTAAAGTTACTCTATATGGATGTTCATTATAGGCAACGTGAAATAACAACCGTCGATATTCAACAATATATTTTTGAACAGATCTCTGACCTTGATGGCATCTCTGGTACTGTTGGAACAAGATCCGCTCATAATGAGGAGTAAGAAAATCTCTTTGTAACAACTGTTTCATCCTGTACCAGGTTCAAACTAGTGCTCTCCCCTCACGAAATCTTCTGGCTTGTAATCTTTCCCACCATGCAGAAGGTCCTCCCTTCAATCTACATGCAACCAGTTTCACCCTTCTCCCCTCTGGAATCTCCATATATTCGAAAAACCTGTCTATTTTCGCAATCCAATCTAGAAAGTCTTCGGCTCCGTTTGGCACATTATTTCTACCCATATTCCCAATCTTATTCCCAAAATATTGTTTGTTTTGTTATTTGAGAAATATTAGTATATATTTTTAATTACTTTTAGACCCCTTAAGTTTATTAATTTCAAAATACCCCTAGAAAAAAGTTTAAAAATTAACAAAAACACCCCCACCTACCCATACTTGCCAGATTCCGGCAACCACCGTTGGTGGTAGCCGGAATCTGTCACAACGACCTACAAACGATCGGAGCTGGCCGGTAATTCACCAATCTGGCCTTTTCCGTGGATCTGGCTGAAAAAGGCCATATCTTTGGCCATCGCTGACGGCCAGATCTGGACTTTTTTGGCCGTTGACGGCCAGATCTGGCTGTAAATCTGGCCTTTTCCAGCCAGATCCATGGTGGATCTGGCTAGAAAAGACCATATCAACGCCCTACCTGCCAGATCCGACCGGTCTGCGTCGTAACGTCATTTTCCAGCCAGATTCCAGCGGTGGTGGCCGAAATCTGCCACTGTGGGTGGGTGGGGGTGTTTTTTTCATTTTACAAATTTTTTATATATTGGGGTGTTTAGTTAAATTAGCAAACCTAGGGATTTTTTTTTTGTAAATTATTAAATTTTACCTTGTAATACTCCCCTATTTAACTACCTAATATTATTCCCAAAATCCTATCGAAAATAATAAAACAAACGGACCCTTCAATATTTAAACTACTATTAAAACAAGGAATATCTACCTTTAACTTGAATTTGTTGGTATCTATATCCCTATAATCACTTCGTCCATATCCAACGTGCCTCCCAAAATCTGCAAAGCAATCGTCTTTTTCATCCAAATCTTTCAGGTAAACTTGCTGTCTACACTTGTTTGCAAAAATTGGTTTGTCAACAGGCTGTCCGTGAGCCACATCATCTTCGATACGTTACCTCTCGTCATTCCAATTTATATTGGCATCTTCGCTCAAAGCATCAAGTTGATCTACAATTTCTTCAAAGTGTCGTTCAAAATGTCGTTCCAAACGCTAGAATCTGATATCGATTCGTTGCTCCAAAGCCCTCAATGCCACCCCTTGCGAGGTCTCAGCTCCTTGATCTTCGTCATGAGAACCGTCGCCTCCTACAACTTCATCACCTGCCATTAGATCAGACGAATTTTGCTTGCTCTGATACCAACTGACGTAGCGACCTTTAACATAAGTCTCAATCCAAAAACTTAAACCGCAAAATCTGAAGTAAAAACTGAATAATTTATTGAATATTCTATATCTTCAAAAGAAACGAATAATATGTTTATATAGAGTGATTACAACCAACCCTAACAAGACTCTAATTAAACAAGGAAATAAAATCCTACTTAAACACCAAAACTAATTAAAACAAGACATCCCAACTGTTGATTAATTATAAAATAAGAAAGTAAAATTTAACTAAATTAAAACTTCCTAAATCAACTAAATTCCTAATTAAAATAAAAAATTACTTGAATTCCTAATATGAAACCCTAAATAAATAAGAAAATCAAATAAAGAAAGGGAAGCAAAATTAAATCCTAATTTAATACTATTTTCCCTACATCAAAATTGGAATCTGTTGAGGAAGTTTCGCCCATTTCATAGGTGTAAATTATTCAGAAGGCAATAAACAATGCACTTCATGACATTTTAATAGATAGATTCTCGTTCTTTTTATACAAGAAAGATTCCTCATTAATTTCTTGTTTCATTTTAGGTCAATCACATCAATAAAAGCCCATCCTTTTCGCATTTTCATATGTTCCTATAAATTTTGTTTTCCCTTGTCTCAATTTTAATGTGCATAATCAACTTTAGGAAAAAAAGAAAAAGAAAAAAGAAAAAAACACTTCAATCGGAGCCATAAGTTAGACAAATACACGGATCACTCAAGCTTTTTTACAAATTCCCAGTTCAGTAGCATATATATATAGAGCAGTGACACAAAAAACCACTAGTTTAACTACCTCTAAGTAGCTTGATGGTTCGCTTGAAACTCTTGGGTGTATGATTGAAGAGGTCTTGAGTTTGAATCCCCACAATTACTAATAAGGGGTCTTCATTGGAGACTTACCTGGCAGTTAAGTTGGCCCGGATACCCCTGAATATCAAAATTAGCCAAGGAGATTGTGATACAATCGTTCAAACTGTGAATACTTCTATACAAATGGGACGCTGAAACTTCTCATCAGTTCCCAGTCCAGATAAATATACAAGTCATCCAGGAGCTCACATATTTGTTGCAAAATACGTTTATTCATGAGTAAAATGTAACTACTCAAGAAAAATCTGTCCATACAACAATTTTTTCACAAAGTTATAGTTGGTGGAAAATTTTAGCATGCATGAAAGTTTAAGAAAGTGCTCTGATGTGGGAACCTACTGGCTCAGAGGCTTGTCTTCAAGGAAATCCTCCCAAAAGGACTAGAAGATGGAAACAAAGTCTTAGCAAAGAAATCAAAAATTAAATGAATATATTAAGAGTGAAACAAGATGCAAACCTGAATACTTCTTAAGGTTAATTCACCATTCAATTCTGGCATCTCGACATCATGTGTTGTGTAAGCTATAATCTGCTAGTGAAGATGGTGTTGGAGTTGGCGACCATTTCAACAATAAGGGGCTGAGCTAGAGGTCATAGCTAGCGGTTACAGTTAGGGGTCATGGCTAGTATGCGCGACCTGCAAAGTGGACTTGGATCATGTCATTAGAAAATAAGTGGCTTGGATCATGTCATTAGAA